CTAGTAGTAGCAAAAATCCATTTTGTTCGCTACTCTATCAGCTAAAAAAAATGCTGCTCTAAAAACTCAAGAGGTGTATTTTCTTTTTCTTTTCCTTCATATTCTGGGTGACACCAAGTGATTCTTTCCTCTGCTTTTGGCCTCTGTTTATATGTTTCTGAAAAGAGCATAATGATGCAGATTTCCCCTTGTAAAGCATTTTGAGCTCTGTTTCCACTGAGCCAGTCGTCCTTTCTGAGTACTCTACTGTGTTGGGCAAGGTAGCCAGTTGTCCCATATGTTAACTGGGCTTTTACTCATTTGGGACCTCAGTGGTGAGGACATATCCATGAAGATCTGAGTGTGGTATAGTTTGTAGTACACTTTTGGAAGGTGCTTGAAACACTTGCTTATTTAAAACTTATGGCAGCTTTCATGTCTATTAAGTTAGCCACAGACAATCAGTTCCAGCAGCGTTGGGCTGGTAGCAAAAAATATATAGCTTGTTTAGTGTTAACAAATGACAAGGGTAAGTGTGCCTGTCAGGGCTTTTATATAGCTTCTGATTGAAAGCTTCAGAGCTGTTTCCTGGAAGAGTGTTTTTGCAAATATGTATGCATTTCTTTCGTATTTTTTGTGTATGTGTGCGCTGCTGAGTACCAATTTGTTGGCATTTATATTTTTAATTTTGTCTACAGGTAATACTACTTTGTGTTAATGTAGTGGCACATCTTAGTCAAAAATTAGGCTGAACTAATTTTACCCACAGGTTTTGCTAAAGTTCTCATTTTAATGAGCTTGTATTTGAACTTTGCAAAAGATAATAAACTAGCTTCATTCTTACAGGCATATGATCAACATCTAAATATGATTTTGGGGGATGTGGAAGAAACTGTAACAACAATAGAGATTGATGAAGAAACATATGAAGAAATTTATAAAGTAAGGACTTCAGTGTCTTCATCCCTGTAGAAAGATTCCGTGTTTGGTGGTGGTTGTTTAACTAAATGATGTTATCTATTTGAAATACTGCTAGCTATTTGTTGGGAGAAGGCCTGACAAAAATTTCAGGCAGATTCTTTTAAAAGTACAAAGTGTTCACAGATTTAGTATGCTCTTCGGTATGCCAATGTGTTGTAAAATCAAGCATGCTTTTGTTGGAGCTGTTGCGGGTGTTTTTATTATTGAACTTGGTGACATGCTTATCAGGTGTCTTCTGTCAACTATATTTTTGTAAATGTAAACTTTTCTTTCCTTCTTCATAGTCTACCAAAAGGAATATTCCGATGCTCTTTGTCAGAGGTGACGGCGTTGTGCTTGTAGCTCCCCCGTTGAGGGTTGGCTGAAACTACAAAGGATTTAACCTTGTTGGAAGGTTTCAGGCTTTTGGACAGTGGTTCCTGTTTCGATCACGCATCTCAAAATTCTATGTACATTTTTATAGAAAGTTTTTGTCATTTTGGGCAGGGGAGGGAAGGGCAGGGGAGCCAACTTGCTTTACTGGAAGTACATGTAATCAGTTGAAGTGGCATAAAACAACCTGGTTTTCCCAGAATTAATGTAACTGCTGTAAGTCAGTTGTATGTCACATCAGTAAAAGAATCTTTCGATTTTGCAATCTTGGCAATAGCAGTGTCTTTTTTGGGTTTTTTTGTTTGTTCGTTTGTTTTTTAAATAAAGTGGGTTTATCTTTCAGCTTTGATTTGTCCTGTTTTTATGTTGAAGAGATTACATTTATAAACTTTCATAGAACTCCTGCATTACGTTGTAGTACTCAGCCTCACTTTGAGAAAGTAGTAATTTTTTTGTGTGTAGTGTTAATCTTTACCCTTACTAATGCTTGAGTCTTGCAGATTATGGCCTTTTTGGGAGCAATACTGTATTGATCTACAGTGCTATCATTTTTGGTTGTTATGTATCTAAATTCTGTATGAATATTCTTATTTATGTAGTTGTATCTATATGTATCTTCCACTTAAGGTACTTAAAGATCTTTTTTTAAAATAAATTTAGATGGTTTTATTGTGGCTCTGTTAGTAGATCAATGATATGAAGTGCTGTAAACAGAGAATGCAGATGTTTGTGTTGCTTGTTGCATTTGACACTAGCTGGTTTCAGTTCTTGAATACATCGAATTTTTGAGAGCACTTAAGATTTCTCATTAGTTACCTCTGGTGAAGGTGCTCTAGAAGCCTGAACAAAACCAATCTTAATGTACAGTTTCTCAGGCTTGTGCTGCTTGCAGTTTTTCTGCTATTTGAGAAGAAGATTTCAATAAACTTACTGTGTGAAATACTTTAAACACAGATTTGCAAGATAGACTAAAGATGTAGGTTAATTTACATCTCTATATGATCTTAACTCAAAACTTAAATTTTATTTAGCTTTTTTAGGCATGCTCTGTCTGGTTACCAAAAGCACCTCTTGTGGCCCCTTCTCCTGTGGTAAAAATCTTCCTAACTTGGAATATCCATTGCTTGTGACAAGGGTGAAGAATACAAGTTATACCAGAGCAAGCCCCAAGCCAAGCTCTTCTACTGGTGCGGGGGTGGAGGGAGGGAAAGATACACGCTTGAAAGATGAGGGTTTATGCTTGGTTTCCTCTGCAATAAGGAGAGCAAGGACCACTACATAATCTGCCCTGTGTTCTAGGGCCACCTGTACTCTGTTGTTCTCATGTCATGTCCTCTAGTTCTGGGTACACTTTTAAAAATAGAAGTAATAGCTGCAGCTGAAATGGTGATGTGTTAGCTGAGACCTAATGTATTAATTATTTTTAGTAGGGTGAGGGGGAAGGAGGAAAGGGGAGTGTCATGAAGACCAAATAGCATTCCTTGCACCCGATTGTAGAAAAAGCAACAAGTCACTCCATTCCTCTACATGTGCCAGATTTATTTTTATTTAAAAGACAAACAAAACTCTCTATGATGCTGTTGTATCATCATTTTTATTCAAAGAAGAGGGTCTGAATGAAGAGCACATGTCCAGTGATGTGGTAGGCTCCTCTCCAGCCTGCCCTCCCTGCTTGAAGGAGATCAGGGCTAGGGTGAAAGCATTTGCAGGCTCTGATCGTATCTCATCGTGGCCTGCATCATCTTATCCTTGCCATATTGGCAAGGAGCCTTTCTGGCTCAAAAAGGTTTAATTCCCGTACAAGGTGTTCATAACCCTGCATGCTGGGAGAAATGTCCTGGTGCTGAAATGTATTCTCTCCTGGAGTGGGTATCATCGTGTCTTCTGTTATCCTGCCTCCTGTAACCCACAGTCGGGAAAGCCAGAGTAAACATGTAGGGAAGAGGAAGAACTGGCTTATTAAGCAGTGCTAGTCCCTCAGCTTCTAGGGATCTGCAGATCTGGGGAAGGAGGGAACGGGTTTCTCTTCAATGTATTTGCCTGCTTGCTTCTAGTAAGTTGCAGAATAGTAGGTTAACAATAAAGTGTCACCTCACTGTCTGCTCCCTCTTTTCAGGAGACCTATGAATTTTAAACAAAATAGGTTGTAGTACAAATCACACCAAACGCTAGGAGAATTTGACGTGGAGACTGACTGTGTATGACCATGACTCACTGCTTGTTCTCTCTTAAGCATTTTTTTATCTGAAGATTCTTTCCTTTTATGCTGCTACAGCTTTGTCAGATCATTGATAAAGTTTCTTGTCATCTGCCTTTCAGCAATTCAAGAGTGGGTCTGTTAATGATTTCCTTTATATTATTTGAAGGTGCTATTAGAGATAGATGTGAGATTAAATTCCCTTTATTTGTGCCACATTTGCCAATGTAACACATTTACCTATGCACTCAGGGATTCTATTCTGTACTGTAGGCTATAGGCACATCTGAAACAGAAGTCAGACTTTCTAGTCCACAGTTCACCTGTATCTCGCTCCCTCTCCCTCTGTATATATATATATATATAAATATATATATATATTTATTTTTAAGCAGTCATTATGTCATCTTCAATTTTGTGAATATTTTAAGCAAGAGGTTATTGCATAGTGGTAATTAGTTGTTGTTTGTTTGTTTGTTTCTAACAGGGTTCTTGGATATTTACTGTCCATAAAGAAATTGTCATGCTAAATTGTCCAGTAACATGTCTTACTTTCCTATTTGAATGAGTTCTCAGATGGGTAATCCAGCCTACACTTCTCCCACATAAATGTGTATGAAAAAAAACCCAGCTTTTCTGCTGTAGCCATATTTTTCCTGACCTTTCTATTCTTTGATCATCTCTTGGCCTTACTCTGTCAAACTTTCTGCTCCTAGTGTGTGAGAAGAAATTTATCATTAATTTATTACGCTTCTTGAGAGATTCCTCAAACACCTTTCAACCTATTTTGTTTCTAGCCTGCCAGAATTTCTTCTAGACTCATCTTTTTAAAGGGTGCCCTTTATTTCTGGTAGCTGTACACTTGCATCTCTTCAGGCATGCATTTGGACTGATTTTTTTGAGGGGGAGCGGAATAAATGGCAGATGGCGACAATAAAGCTTTATAGTCTATTGTCTTTAAAGAATTTCTGCTCTGCTGCAACCACTTGACTCTCAGCAGCTCTTTTCTTAACCATTTTTTAGAAATAAGCGCTGGTAGTTGGCCTTTTTTGAGTGTCAACTGCCTGCCAAATTTCCATGGAGACTCATTTTTTGCATCTCGGGTGCATGCACAGCGCTAGATGGTGCTGTGTTTCCTCTGATCCAAGCTTGGCTTGCCTTGCCTGACTTTGATGTATGTAGCCTGTGTCAACAGGCCCTGTAGTTGTACAATTAGTCATTTGTTTCTAATTAGGATGGCACTTGCTGACAGTTCTAAATTAACTCTGCTGCTCACCCGTAAGTAAAGAGCAAAATATGTTTTGATGTTTATGTGGGCACAGACCAAGTCCGAGGAAGAGTTAAAGTAAAACAATATGTGTGTTTTGTATTGTCAGATTCAAAATACACGAAATTCAGATCAGCATTTTTGCTAATGGCATTAGCTGAAGAATTATAAGGAGGCATTAGCTGAAGAATTAAGGAGGCATTAACCACTTTGCTGCTGAGTACTGCTTGCAGATGAGCAGCTGCTTGCATGTCCATCGATCCAGGCGCTCGCTATACGTGTGACTGTCCAGTAACTTCGCTGGAGAACTTCACCCCAGAAGTTAAAATTCACCAGGGAAACAAGCTGCATATATGAATTTATGTCTGTTTAGTTCTTGAAGTGACAAGTATCTCAGTTTATTGTCACTAAATCTGCTTTTCTTCTGATTCTCTGGAAATTGTTTTTTGATGCAATCTACCTACTTGAGCAAAATAGGAAGATCCAACCTTAAGTGTTCAGTTTACATGTTTGTAATAGTTTGTATTTAGCTGAGAGGAAATGATGCTCTGCATTTCATACCTATCCTCTAATCAGACAAGGGGAGAGTTTGGGTATCACTGAAGTTACATAAAGGCTGGAGCAATGGGAGCTTGAGTGTAGACTTGTGCAGAGACTCAGGGTTCAAAAAGCAGAATAGGGGGGTTCGTGCTGGGAATTCCTTAACAGGACACGTTGTCTTCTCCTTGTGTGTCTGTTCTCATTTTGTAGGCTTTAGAAATCTATAATGTGAAATATTTAAGAGAAAGAAGCTAGTATAAGAGAAAGAAGCTAGTAAGTCCTTCAATTTCTTATTAGGGAATGAAATATTTAAGAGAAAGAAGCTAGTAAGCCCTTCAATTTCTTATTAGGGAGCATGATTCACTGCAGGATGACAAATTCTGTGCATTGTTTTTTTGGGTTGCTGATGACATGTACAGAAAGTCCCATCAGGCTTATTAAGGTTTAAGGCATTCATGCCAAGATCATCGATGGGTTGAATACATCATTACTGAGGGTGTAGAGCCCCAGTGTTTCTAAACAGGAAGCTGCTTTCATATACCAAACAAAAAGAATGGGAAAGAAGAATAGAAAGTTCATACAGAAAATTGAAGCGCGGTGTCTAAGCCAGTCTTTGCATGGGGAGGGGGAAGAATGGGTGGAAGGAAGAGAATAGATGATGTGGGTTGGAGCGGAAAACAAGAACCACTGACGGAAAAGGCTGTAGTCAGAAACGCTCTTTATGAGCGAATTTTTTCATTGTTACCCAAATTAGTTTGAATGGAAGAGAGGCCCACTCCCAAATTTTGGAAACTTAGGCCAAAAAGCCTATTCATTTTTACAATGGCATTTGATGGGTTTATGATGTGACTGCCTGCAACAGTGGAGGATTAGACGTGCTGAGTGTCTGTGTGGGTGGACAAGCTATTACAGAAATCACTGCATAAGCCTTTGAAAGAGTTGGGTAACGACTGATCATGAAGGTGCTTGGGTTTTTAGTTTGTTTTGGGGTTTTTTTTGGAATGTTTTTCTGTCTGTAATACTTGGTAAATGTGGAGATTTGCTTACTGAAGGAGTGTACAGACATGTTTGAAAGATCAGAATATTCAAATATAAATGCTTTGTAAGCATTAGAACGATGTTATTTGGTCCAGAATCTGTACACTATTCCTTAGTCATGTGGTACTTATTCGTATTAATTATAAAGGTAAGGGATGGCATAAAATTTAAATGGAGGAGAAAAAATTCCTTATTTGTGAAGCAAAAGCAAATATTCCTGTGGCAGCACAAA